GTTTACCATATAATACTGATTAATATTAACTAATTGATTTCCTCTTACATATCAAAGTCAAATCATATTTCATTCTACATGATCAATAATATTGATTAAGACCTTATGCTTTTATAAATTTTGCCAATGCTGATGATTTAGATTTTGCTGCTTAACAATTTCAAAAATTTAAAGGAAAGTCCTATACTAGATAGAATTATCGAAGAAATATTACATAAGTTGTAGTGTCCTTAACCATGAACTTAAAGATTGCACTAATTGAAATCTAGCTAATTCTTAATAATCACTTTATAGTTATTTTAAGCTAGAATAATATCAATCTTTATGATCTTTTTAATCCAACAATCGAGGTTCCTACAGATCTTTCTCTTAAGTTATTCAAAATAATGTCAAAACACAAACAATAATAATCAGAATAATAATAATAATAATAATCACAATAGAGTTTTTCTGAATACTACTGATGCTCTTAAATTTATCTAAGGATAGTTAAATAATATTGAAAATAAACTTATTCTTATTGATAATAAAATAGTCTACTTAAAAAACTTTATTCTCAAACATGAAAGGATATTGATTTTCAATTATATTGGTTTGAAAATATGCATTATATTGAACATAATTCTAAACAAATAAATAAATATTGAATATGATCCTAAATAATTAAATGAATATTGAATATGATTCTAAACAAATAAATGATTTTGCATATAAATTTTCCTTTCACAATAATAAAGAAGAAATAGAAACTACTCCTGTTACCTCTTTGATTTAATTAGAAAATAATGATGTTTTATCTTCTTCCTTAATCCCAGTTAATATTTCTCAATTTCAAACGAATTATTTACAAAGAATTGACTCTGTTGAATCTTCAGTTAACAATATTAAATCTGAAATCTATGTAATTTCATTTGCTTTATGTTCTATTACTCAAACTTTTTTATCTTTTGGATAATAAGTATATATCAACCCAATCACAATAATGGTATTCAACAAGTACATCTTAATCATAATGAAAAATTTAATAAACAATAATTTTTATTCTCACTTTAATGACCCTAATTTTTTTCCTTTACTATTCAAATATCAGAAGCTGCATCTTTAATGAAAAAATGACATAAATTGAACAATTTTTTACTATTTGTAACTTAGATATTTTAGGTTTAAGTGAAACTCATTTAAACTCTACACAAGCTCTTTATCAATCAAAAATTTTCATAATAAGCTATATAAATTTATCTTCTTATTAAATAATCCTTAAATCAATTACCAAAGTATTAGTTTTATCATTAGATCTTACCTTCATAAATATATTTTCTTTCAAAAGTTTTTATTAGATAGAATTGCTTATAACAATTTGCAATTTAAAAACAAAACTAACTTAAGAATTATTCAAATATATCTTCCTGCTAATAAAACAGATTGAAACCTAGATCTTAGATTTAAATTAAAAACTATGATAATCAACATTATTCTTGAAGCTCAATCCAAATTCTATCATATAGTTTTAATAGAAGACTTTAATATTGATTTTTATAAACTAAAATAAAAGTACAATAATATAAAAGAAATAGAATTTGTAGATCTGTCTCAAACGCATTTTTACTTTTGTCATATGCTGATTTTTCTTTTCTAAGTATTCGAAATTAAACGTAATGAGATAACTGATTGGTTTTAGTTGGAGTTGGTTTAATCCTTTGAGAAAAGCTAAGTAGCATTTACTTTATTTTTCTACTTTAGTATCCCTTTTAGGATTTTCTTTTTATTTTGTAATTTGAATTTGAATTTTAAATAAATAAATGCTTTATCACGTCTTAAAAATAAATAAATTAATTATTAAGAAGATCAGTATTTCTAGCTTAGTAGTTAAATTGTGAGTCTCTTATTAAGCTAAATTTTTATTACACAGCAATAAGCCATCAGTTTAGGTAACAGCCAATATATAAAACTAGATGATTTTCATAAAAATTTTATATGTGGCTGAATTGATAGGTGTATGTACTAACATATGTATAAATCTGATTGATTGATCTATTAATTAACATTAATCATACCTAAATACTGCAGAGCATTAGAATATGTAAATGCAAATGAAGCCTTAGATCAACAAAACTTTGATCTTTACTGATTGGTCTGTAATAGATACAATCTTATGTTTCACTTAGCAGGGCCTTTATTTCTATATATAAATATATATAAATTAAGGATATAATTGACTAGAATTTTGTATATTAGATTAATGGTAATAATAAACTGAATGGTATACATGCAGTACTATTTATTCGATATATTACTAGGGTTAAAGACCAGGTTTGATTCTGAGTTATTTGACATTCTGGATATCAAAGTCACCTGATTGATGTGATCTACTATATATATGTAACTGAAGATCACTGTTTGGGTAAATCTTGTGATATTATCCTATAAATCCTACGGTTCTTTATATAATTGTAGTTAAGCCAAACTAAGAAATTGGATCCTAGTTATAGTTTACTAGATTATTGGTAAGAATAGTGATGATGTTTACTATGGCTGAGATGATCACTCTATCCAAATTTGATAGTACCTTTGATGCTTAATACCTAATTCAGATTACAACAAGTGGTTTGAGTTGCCGGTTAGGATATCATACTATAAATGGACACATTAAGGGGGATGCGTTCAACATAGTGGATAACTTGAAAATATAAGAAAATACCTGAGACTGTTAAGGCTAGCACACAACTATTTATGATAATTGGGTATTTCAGTATTTAGTGTTAAGTGAAAAGGTTGACGATCAAAGTTGAAGCATCTTAAAAAATAATAAATAAATCAATTATTAATTTTAAAATATTAATATACTATATCATCCAAAATTTTATCCTCTTTCTAACAAATATTTAAATATAACAAATAATTAAGTTTTGTTAAAGATAATAGTTTTTTTAAATTTTAAAAAAACTGCATAATAAAAAACATATTTTGCTATCACGTCCTGATCATTATCCTTATAAACTTTATTTTTATATATAGCTTTTCTATTTATTTTAACAAATGCGTTTTATTCAAAATATCTCAAATAAGCAATAATAATAAATAATAATAAATTTTACATATTATGTATATTACGTAATCACATATTTGTCTATATATTTTTGCAATTAAAATCTTTATAATTTTAAATTACATAATTTTTACAATTATGTAATTGAAATTTCAAATTTGAATTATAGAAATTAAATAAAATTGAATTAATTAATTAATCATCACTAATTTAACACTGATTAATCACCAATTAATCTGAGATTCAACACTTATTAATTCCTATAGAAATTTATTAAATAATTATAATTTACTTTACTATATAAGTGAAATTACAGCTGAAAATTTAGCTTAATATTTTTACATATTTTATTATATTCTTATGAATATTTAAATTATTTAATTTATACTTTATTAAAATTTATAATGTAACATTTTCTTTAATAGTAATATAAGAAAAAAAAAATCACTATATCTCTTAAATTTAATATAAAAATTCTTATATAAAAAAACTAAAGTTCTATTTATTATACTTGATACAGGATTTTCAATTCATTATACATAATGATAAGTTTTATTATAAAAATTCATTATATTTAATTATTTTATTTAATAAAATTTGGGATTACTCATAAAATTCACAATAATATAGAAATTTGTTATAGTAAAGTTCAACTATATCAAATTATTATTATATTATGAAAATTTATATATTAATATTAAACAAACCTTCCATATGATTAAATATCAATTTATTGATTTATCAATGATATAGTATTTATTATAATAAATGTATTTCTTTTTATTATGTCAAGACATACTTGAAAAAGTTTAAGTTTAATGTTAAAATAAAAAAAAATAAAAAAAACAATTCCATAGCTTACAAATTTTCATGTGAACACATTCATTTTATTAGACAAAATCAATGTCACATGATAAATTGTATATCTGAAATTTGTCAATTTTCTAATGCCTAAGACTTTATTCTCCATTATTTATACTATCAATATTACGAATTGTTTTTTTTATATCATATAGAATAAAAGTTTTAGGATTTTGAAGTTGAACATAGGAAAATGGTTCTGAGAATTTTTTGAATAAGATTTAATTTAATTCTTATTACATTTAAATCTAATATTATCAAAAATTATAAAATTAAAAAATTCTCAAAACCCTATTTTTCCTAGCAAAACCTTTCATTAATTCCACGATTTATATAATTTGAAAATTGAAACTTGTATATTATAAATTATTCTTATTTATACAAATTATTTATTTAGAAACATTAAAAAAATATATAGTTTCTATTTAAGTAAGATACGAACTATATATTGAATATATGTTTTTTTCACATGCTTCTTCACGATTAAGAAGAACGATTACCTTTTAAGTACTGATTGTATCATCATACCTTGAGAACTAAAATTCATTGCATAAAAATCTTTAATATCGATATTCATTGGGAAGTTTATAAATTTTAAAAATTTAAAGAAGCGTATCTTGTATACTTCCGGAAAAACTTACAAAATTTTTGTACAACGATCAAAAAATTATCCGAATAAGGGAAAGAATTTTTGATCATCAAAAAATCAGAAAAAATTTTTACTTTCCTCATTTTAATTCACAATAGTTATTTGGAACCAATATATTTTCTAGTATCTTTCAGTAAAATTTTCTTTATTTTCTTTCACGGAGAAATATATTGCACTTTTTTTTTTTTTTTTTTTTTTTTTTTTTTGCTATTTCATAAGGATATATTATTTTATATGCGCATTTATTCGCACATTTCCTAAGTTCAAAGTAATTTTTGATAATACTCAAAAATATGTTGTGAAACAAGTTTTTTTTTTTTTTTTTTTTTCAATATAATGCATTTTTTGTGAATCAACTACCTCCTAAAATAATTTTTTTTGTACCTTTTGTTCTTTTATCAAAAAAAAAAAAAAATTAAAAAAAAAATAAAAATAAAAATATATATGAACGGAAATATGGAAAAATTTCAAACCAAGCCCAAAAATCTAAAAGCAAACATTTCAAATTATGGATGCGTAAATGATTTAGACCAAGATTATTCACCAAAGATTACTACAACTTATAACCCACCTAATCCTCCTTCATGGTATCCACCAGAATCCTTTGGCGAAGATAGAGATAATGGAATTTTTCTTGTAGATAAAATCACGATTGCACGTCAAAAACAAACTACACGACAATTCTCGTTAAAACCAATGGATGAAGATGAGTTTATGGCATTGTCTGCGTGGGATGATGATAATAGTAGTAATTTAGTAGTTACAAATTCTGAAAGAAACGAAGCTCAATATATGAATGAAAATTCATTTTCGAAGAATTCATCTGACACTACCAATATAGCTAATAATGTGGATGTTTATGATGACGATACAGCCTCCATGGCCTCCATGTCAACCTGTTCCACAGCAACGACTTCAGACTTATACCCTTCCGTAATGCACGTCACTTTGAATGATTTAATAAATTTCAAAAAACGACGTGATTCTATGCAAAATAATATAAATAATTATAATAAGTCTATTGATACAACATCTGTTATTAATAAAGGTAAACAAAGGATTGTAAATTTTAAGGATGAAATTGTGGAATCACCCGGAGAATCATCGAAGAAATTAATGGAAATGGAATCATCAGCACTATCAATCATTTCAAATGATTCAAGTACCATTAAAGATAATAATTCATCACATAAAGAAGTAATTTCGGAAATTTCAATAACTATACCATTAAACTATCCAAAAATATCGACAGAAGAACAAGAAGCGATTAAAATTGATAAACAAAACAAACTTCGTGCGTGGGTGAAATGTTTATGGCCACAACCAAGGCTTCCCGGTTCGAGACAACTATCATTTGGACTTAATCCACGTTCTCTATCAAAAAGAAATCTCAATCCGTCTATAGTTGGAATTGTCGTAATGCAAAAATCAGTTCCAATGATATTAACTGCAATATTAAAAGGAACGAAACATCCCAAAAAAGAAATTGATAGAAATGGACAAATAAAATTTACGGGAGAGCCTGTAATTATTAAAGGAGTTTATGATCCAAGAGAATATTTGCTTTTGCATTGTCCTACTTATCAGAATCCACCTTGTTATAATGGTAATCCAAAAAATCCTTGGACTGAACATTTCTTGCTTAATAAAATTTTGCCTAGATTATCCAGTGAAGCAATTAAAGTACAAAATGAAGTTGGATTATTCTTAACTGTCAGGGAATCATTGTTATGGGGATTAGAACATTCTCCCATATTTCAGTGCAGAACTTGTACAAACGTGCAACATAGTTTTAGCAGGAAGTTCAATTATAAAGGGGTTCGTGAACATTTATTCAGTAGTAAACATGCTGTAAGTTATATCAATGAAGAGGAAATGATTAGAGTTAATCCCAAAGATTTCATGATGGCTTTTTATAGAAATTTACCTCCAATGATTGTAACCGAGTCATAATTTATCATGTTATTTATCATTTCACTTATTATTTATTATTTTGTAAATAAAGGACAGTCCAATAATTCGAATGTTAATAATCTTTTTTGAAGAATCTCATTGTTGTTTCATATGCCAAAATTGCAGATGCATTGGTAGGAAATGATCGAAATATACAAGGTAAAAGACCTCGATAAAATCCATTTATTCCTTCTGTTTGATACACGTATTTAACTACGCTACGCAGATTTGGGAAATGTAAAGGTTTTACATCCGGTTCTGTTTTTCACTGAATCAAAAGGAATCATTTCATTCATATTATGTCTTCGAAGCCATCCAGAATATACTTCATAAGATCCCCCCAAAAAGCCCAACCATGTTCTAAATGCTAAAGTTCCAATAAACCCAATCCATAATCCAGGAATACCATTATTTCTTATTAATTTTCTCGCAGTCAATAGGACCTGAGTAAACTTTGTAGATTGATCATATTGCACTTGTAAACTTGTTCTATAGGTGGAGCGACAATTGATACAGCAACGTGTGCTGAAACTGAAATAAATATAGTTTTACCGTCGGGTCATTTCGTTGTAATAGCAAACGATAATTAATTTTAAAGAAAAAACAAAACTAGATTTACATAATCGAGTCCAAAAGTGCCCATCCTACTAATGGTGGTGAAGCTCCTAAATATATATCATTCCGATGACTTGTATTTATTATTTAAATTTGCAGCGGTCCATCGATTCCTGAGTTCTGTAGTCGTATCTAAATGAACATTTTGACAAAATTTTAATCAACGAAAATTACCAAAATTCTTAAATAATTAAATAATGAACAATATTTTACCAAATGGATGACCAATGGACAGTTTTGTCACACCAGTCGTAACTACTGCTATGAAGCCACGGAGAACGACCAGTGTTTTCTTTCTCTTGTTTCTGTTCAATCTTTTGTAATTCAAATAATGAGACCCAGCCGGAGGGATTTCTTGAATATAATTTGAAAATATGTGAGCCTAATGTTAACAATTATCAACTTTTATAATAATAAAGATTACGAGTAAATGTAAAAAAAAAAAAAAAATTTAAGAGTTGAAAAAAAAAGATGCGTGATAATGTAATCTCATATCCATAAACAGTTTCTAACATATGATAAAAAACCATGCTGAATAATTTTAGGATCAAACAAATTTCTTTTCTTCCCTCATAGTTTCAACAATGATTATTTTTATTTTTTTGTTCTTTATTGGATATTACTTTTATAAACATAAACCTAACGCAGATTCTTTTAGAGAATTTATTCTAACCAGTAAAGAAGCAAATTCCCCCTCCACCCCCTCCACTTCGCAGGATTTATTTAAATTTTTTAACAAATTGTTAGTCGGCCAACCAAGTGTTCCAGAATTCAAACTAGACGACTATTATTGTTTCAATGTTGTATCATTCAAAGACGGAACTGCAACATATGTAGGTTTTTTAGATAAATGGTATCTATGGAGTAAAATTGAAGTAGTTGGTTCAAGTGGAAGAGGTGATCGATTATTCGGACGCAGAAAAAAGGGTTCGGTGATAGAAATGCAAAACATTGAAGGGTTAGCATACGGCGATAAAGAAGCTGCTATAAAGGCTAAAGGAATGAAGGATTGTATGTATTACTTGAAATGATTCTACTTATAATTACTTTTATAATTCATTACGAGATCGTGAATTTTCTTAATATTTTATTTAAAAAAAAAACAGATCATAAGGCAGCAAAATCATTTTTGTCGGCGGCTAAACAATTCAAGAAGGTTGGTGATGATTCGAATCTTCTTGAAGCTGCAAATTGTTATGAAGACGCATATAAAGCTTTTCAACAGACAAAACAAACTGGTATTGAATTCAATTAGCTCTATATTACTATCAATTATAGATTACAGGCTTCACTTAAAATAATTTATTTTTTTATATTAATGTATAGATAGAGCACTTGAAGCGTTGGAAAAAGCAGCTTCTATTTATGAAAGCAGCGACAGACAAAGCACCCGTGCAGCGCGTGTATATGAAATATTGGCAGAACAATATAAAAAACCAAATAGTATTCAGCACAATTTAAAGAAAGCACTTGAGGTATATGAAATATATAAATTTGTTTTTTACAAAAATGAATGATTCTGACGGTTATCTTGTACAAATTACATACATATATATATTACAATAGATGCATCGCAAATCTGCCGAACTATTTGAATTGGATGGAGATGGGTGAGATACATACATATTTATTTAAGTATGCATTATCAAAAATCATGAACAATTGAAATTGAATTTCTTTTTTCAAAAAAATATTAGCCGTTTCTTGTTTTCTTTAATATCACAAGCTGAATTATCTGCTGAACTTGGATATTTTGAACAAGCAATTTCTCTCTTTGATAATATAACGATACTTTCGGCAAATGATTCCATTCTTAGTTTTAAAGTCAAAAGTCATGTTTTTTTGCAGTGTCTCTGTATTATCGCTTTGGGTGACTGGGTGAGACTTGAGAAAAGATTTCAACAATGTATCGAGGATTATCCGAGCTTTGCAGATAGTAGAGAATGTACTTTTATAAATGTAAAATTTAACCCTTTGATTTTGTCATGTTAATTAATCTATTTCAATACTTTTTGCATAAATTTAATATAATATAATGTATTTTTATTTATAGAAACTAATTGCTTCCAAAAATTCCTGCGATCCATCTGGATTTGCTACAGCTTGCCAAGAATATGATCAACTTACAACATTGTCGTCATGGCAAACGCATACCTTACTTGGAGCCAAAAAAGCTTTAGAAGTTGAAGATTTACGATGAATTAATAATAATAATATTTTTGACCATTTTATAAAGTATATAGACAATTAGCTACTAATTATACACCAACTCTATCTATATTCATAAATCTTTTTTGCATAGTAGACTCCAACCCCAACTGATAATACACCTAACGATAAAGGAATAGGTTTTTTGGTTTTTATAGCACGAGGAATCATGCTACCTGCTAATATAGTGGATGCAGCTTCAAAAAAATTTTTTTTTAAAAAAAAATTAGAGTTGAAAAGTATCAAACTAAACAAGTTATTAGTTAACACTTTCTCTAAATAAATAAATTACCTAAAGCCGTTTCGTGTCCATAATTTTTATTCTCCTTAATAACATATCTTGTAAAACATATCATAAACGAGTTTTAATGACTATTAAATATTCTAAATAATGACAACCTATCAAATCCATACCCTGCAATTCCATATAACATTCCAACACCTATTCCTGCCATTAACGAAGGCATTGAACGTGCTTTAGCATAACCGCCAATACCTCCAAGGGTACCTACCATATGTATATATAATGTAATAATATAAATAACCTTTCTTACTAAATTAATGAAAGCATAGATGACTATATTACGATATTTACATATAACAGCCATTGTATATGAAGGATGATGCGACATTTTTTTTAAAATTTCACGATATGAATTAATTGCATTAAAAAAAAAATTTTTTTTTTCCAGATTTCACGAATTACGTTACACGAAATCGTCATTAATACGTAAACTAATAAAGTAATGTTTTAACAATATCGATATCTTTTAAGAAATATCTTAAATAGCCCTTTTATTGACAATCTCCTAGATAGAAATTTTCAAACTCTCAGATCATTTTTTAATTTATTTATACATGGAACCAGAAGCCACAACGTCAAATACTTTTCCTTTTAATAATAATAAACCCGAGAGTTTACCTCTCTTAACATATTTAAATTCATGCCCAGTCACCTTTGGATATAGATTAACAGAAAGTGCACAACGGGAAATACTGAAAAGACTTTTCTCGGAACTATGGAGATCAAATGAGGATTATAGATCTTTATTTTTTCCAAACGGTTTCGGTGAAGGACTTGACGCATATAAATTGAGCCTTGCACTAGGAGAAGGAAGCTCGGAATATTCACAGACACAAAAAGGAAAAGCTTGTGGCCATGTCTTTAAAAAGGGAGAAGGTGTTTATCGTTGCAGGTAAGAATATTAAGAAATAATGATCTGGATTGGATCGGATCGTTTTGGTTGACCTTTATTATATAGGGATAATACATTGTAATTTTTTTTTAAAATTTAAATCCGAATATAATTGTTCTTCATAATCATCGTTATCTTTCGTAGAAACTGCGCACTGGACGAAACATGTGTCTTTTGTTCTCGTTGTTTTCATGCCACGAATCATGATGGACACGACGTATCCTTCTCTGTGAATTCTGGGTCTGGTGGCTGTTGTGACTGTGGTGATCCTGAGGCTTGGAAACGTCCTATACAATGTACTTATCATACACTAAACTATTCTTCACCAGATTCTGGTGAATTTGAAAAAATACAATACGAAGAAACATTACCTCATGACCTAATAAACCCTATTCATAACACTATCTCTACTGTCCTTGATTTCATGTTGGACACCTTATCTGCTTCCCCTGAGGAAATGACCCCTCCTCTTAATGAAGCAGACGTCAGGAAGGAAGCTAATCGAGCTGCCCTTTATATTAGAGATCATGTAAATATTGTTAATGAAGAGAAATTATTTGCAGTAGTACTTTGGAATGATGAGCATCATTCTTTTCATGAAGTGATTGATCAAGTCATTGATGCAACTGGATGTAGTCAAGCGGAAGCAAAAGCCATGGCCAAAAGAGTTGATTCATACGTATGTAATACGATAATAATTTTATGTTTTGTTGCATAAAAAAAAAAAAATTATTATTATATAAATCTATATATATATTTTTAAAATTAATGAATCTTTTTATATCATGGAAACAAGGGACGTGATATCGTTAAAATATCCGAGGATATTCCACTTCTTCGTTCCATAGCAAATACAATATCGTCAATAGGTCTCGCTGTCACGATACGATCCGCACGTGATACGTTCCGTGAAGGGATGTGCGGTCTTTTCATTGATTGGTTAAAAGATCTTGCAGGAGGAATTATTGGTTCAGATTCTTCATTGCTGAGAGATATAATTTGTGAAGAACTTTGTAAAGAATGGAATAAGCCTCGATGTGCTAATATTGATATGAAATTGAAAATTCGGTTCGCAGGAGATACACAAAATGGTCGAGTCAAGGGTACGAATGAATATATGAGTGATGATGAGGAAATGGTGATGATTGATGATGATATTGATGATGTAAATGTTGAAGACGATACATCCAACGTGTATAGGCAATCTGTAGAATTCAATGGTGATTACGATGTATTAATGGAAGAACATTCTAGCGATGCAATTGAACCAATGGATGAGGATGAATCGATAATATATCGTGGTACTTCTTTTTTAATGCAGAAAGTAGAAGATTTTAAAAAGAAATTGCGATTGGATAAGTTGTTGATTTTAGATCTAAGGTTATGGAAAGAGGCAAGAGCTGGATTAAGAGAATTATACATTGGAACACTAATAACTAATACGGAATATAAAAAAATAATGGGTAACTTTAAAAAAAAAATTGTATTTTTTCCTCATAATTTATAATTAACTTTAATTTCTATTTAGGTATTAGATTTGCTCGTAATTATGTTAAACTTGCAAAGGCATTTCTTACCCCAGACCGTGAACCTGAACATTCAATTGTTCTATTTTCCGTTCAACTTTTTACTGTTCCTACCATTTCCACAATTCTTGTCACCAAATATAAATTCCTTACAACGATCTTTACAATACTTCATACATTTTTTACCTCCAATACTGTTGGAGAAGATTTAGATAGCATTGATCCAAATGCTAAAATTGATTGTGATTCTGATGCCTTTAAAAATCGTCGTTACTTTCATGTCTTTCAAGATCTTCGTTACATCATCAGTAATGACGCTGTGAAAAACGCAGTACCGAAAAATACTCATTATTTGCAACAATACCTGAATTTAATTGCACTATTCCAAGGAATGAATCCAAACATCCGTGCAACTCATCAACATGTGGAATATGAAAACGATAGTTGGATCAATGCGTTTAATGTAACTTTGCAAATCGCTAAGAGTTGTCGTCAATTCTCTGATTGTTATACGTGCAACACTAGAACGCTATGTATAACTATTCGTAAAACTTTAAGAAAATTATACGAATGGTGTGCAAGATGTGACGATGATGATGATGAGGGAGATAAAATGGATGAAACCGGCGACGATCATGAAGATTCTCTTTATCATTCAAGTGTTTGGGTAACATCTACACCGGGTTCATATGGTCCCTTTGCAAAGAGTGCCAAATTTTCTGTTGAAGACAAGGATAATAATCTTTCTTCATTACGAGAACCAGAATTTCATGATGTTATCTTTCCTGCGAATCCTTATTACCTTTCATTTCGAATCGTTAAGTTTAAAGTTTCTTCGCAGCCTGTTAGTTTTCATCACCCTTTGAATTGGTTTTTAGCCGAATTATTGGAAAATGTTAATTTATTGGATGATGAAATGTTAAAACAGCATGGTTTTGGTAGTTTCCAAAGTATGATGATGGGGTTTGATGTTGAAAACAATGAGGAATTGGGTGATGTAGCTCAACGCGTTAGAGAAAAAATTTTAGGAGTATTTGACTATCCATTGCGAGGTGAGCTATTTTTTTTAAAGAAATTTTTTGAATCAACTAACCATTTTATTAATGATTATTTTATTTTATTCGGTTTTTGTAGTATTGGTTTTGTTGGTACAAATCCGTGCTGGTTTATGGGTACGGAATGGATTCGGTATTCGCGGTCAAGTACGTATAATGTTTTGGAATTCTAAAATTCCAATTAGTTAGTTTCATTTAAAATCTAATTTTCATTATTACCATTAAAAGTGCCACCATTATCGTGAAATTTCATTACGTGAAAATACCTATGATGAAGATACCTTTCTATTACAGACAGCTTTTATTCTATTAGATCCAAATATAGTACTTGTCACTATTTTAGATCGGTTTGATCTTGTGGAGTGGTTTAATGGTGTAACTAACCATGAAGTATATGATAATTCACAACTTACCTTTATTGCCGAAGAATTGTTAACGCTTTTAATCACATGTGTTAGCGAACGTGCAAATGCAGCCGGATTTACCATGGAACAGAAAATAAGAAGGGAAATTATTCATGGACTTTGTATTGGTCCAATTGCTTATTCGGAACTTACAAAACGTATTCCAGAACGATTAGCACAAAATCCAATATTTGATGAGATTTTAACGAGATTGACTAATTATAAGGCACCGGATAGTTTGACCGATCATGGTTCCTATGAACTTCATGACGAATATTTTGATGAAGTTGACCCATACTTTGTCCATTATTCTCGTAATAATAGGGAAGAGGCAGAGGAGGCTTTGAAGAACAGGTTGAAGAAAAGGGATGCAACTGACTCTACTCCACTGTTAATGCCAAAATTGACTCCTATTACAAGTGGACCATATGTTAAATTGGGAAACATTTTACATGCACGCTTACTAAATCAAATTATTTATTATTCACTTTGGCATGTGAAAACTGATGAGAAGATAAAGTCAGACACACTTGTGGAAGAAGCATTGCACCTGATCATGTTGGCTCTGTTGGATGAAAATAACGACATCACAAGAGAATGCAAACGTAAAGGGAAACAAAAGGCTAATGAGACTTCCATTTCATCAGATATAGATATACCAGGTTTTATTTATTATGCGGTATCTGATCGTTTTCAAGAAATTGATAATAATGCAATGAAATCTCAGGGTACTAGCCTGTTAGATCTTTTATTGCAGCTTTCATGTGATCAAAGTTTTAAAGAGTTCCATCACAAGCTAGAATTTATTATA